AGATGAGGTCTCGCTGCCCAGGCGGATCTCGAACCCGCGGGCTCAGGCAATCCACTCACCTCAGCCTCCCAAAGGTGCGGGATTACAGGCTCAGCCACCGAGCCCGGCTATAATTTACTTTATATAGTAAATCCTCACATGTACCCCAGGACTCTAAAATAAAATAAAAAAGAAAAGAACAAAGCATCTAACCCAAACCACTCTCATACGCCAACCACTCTCATACGCCAGCCACTCTAGGGTAACCTGAGGTAGAGGTTAATGCTGGACTGTCTCACTAATATTCTCCCACCTTTCAGCAGGGTTTGCCCAAAAAAGATAAATTTTATATCAGGCATAATCAGACGGGTAAATCAAGTACAAACAAAAAAGATACAGTTTCCTCTGAAGCCAAATAGAGGGAATGTTTGCATTCCCTTGTCTGGGACCATTCCTAACAAGCTCTGCTGTACTCAGAGCAGACTAGGAAAAGTTATGTATAAATTTACCCCAAATCCTACAGCCAAGCAAAGGTCTAAAGACCACAGTTGGTAAAAGATGCTGAGGGTGGAGCTGACCCAGAAGGGGAAATCAGTGAGACACTCTGTTGTTGCAGTGGTATTTTCATGCAAAGATGGAGATGGAGCACGCTAGATTCAGAACCCCTTTCCTGGGACCTGACTCCACTCTTCCCAAATCATACCCGCAGTATTGCCCACGGCTATAAATAAGACCTAGGTCCCAAGTCTGGTTCACAAAATACCCTGATCTATACCGGAAATCTCTGCTGCTCCACACAGATAACAAGCCCTGCCCTCTGCAGAAAAGCCATATCCACCCAAGCTAGAAGTAACTCCCCAAAGATATAACATCCATCTGAGATCACAGGTCCTCGGGTCAAAAAAGTTGGAGCCTTTATAAGAATTAACAATAGTAGTAACTTTTTAAAGCCACCACCTATTAAAAGGTTTCTCTCTCAAGTTCAAAGCTAATCTCTAAAGATTTTTTTCCTTCTGATCCCAGATCAGAAAAACTTTAACTCAGCATCAACAACCCCATCTACTCCACTCATTGGACCCCAGCCAAATTGGCAAGCAGCTATTAAAACCCTACTAAGTACTCTGCACTGTGCTAGACAAGGGCAAGAGGACAGAGGAGGCAAAACACATATACCTCAGGATTCATACATCCAAGGAGGTTACATTGGACAGAAAGCAAAACCAATGGGCACTGGAGAATAAATAAGTGCTCCACTCTGTGGCATTGGCTCTATTGTCAACTATGCAGAAGATGGAGGGACCTGTGGCTGGAATAGAAGGAGAAGATTCCTTACAAGAGGTGGGAGGTGGGGCTTGGGGCAGAGATGTTGGAAGTGAAAGAGGCATAAACAATCCTCTCATTCTCTAGAAGAGGAAGCTGGTGCCAGAGGGGTTGTATGTCCCCTCCCTCCCAGTCATAGAGCACTTTGCAGGTTCAGCTAGAGCCCAGTGCCTTGAAACCCCTACCAAAGCTATTTCCTATGGGAGAATGCTGTGTCCTGGAAGCTAGGGGACACAAGAGAGCAAGCACCTCAAGAAAGATGCAGTACTCAACAGGATCAAAGTCTGAGGGAAAGTATTAGAAGCAGGGAGAAGGAGGAAGGCAATGACAATGGTATACCATTAAGAGGTTCTGTTAGAAAGCAGACACCAGGAGAGGGATGGGGGTGTGCAGTGCGGACCAAGGTCAAGAGACTTGCCTGCAGCAAGGGCCCAGTTGACTCCCTCACAGCGGAGCAGCATGCAAACAAGCAGGCTCAGGAGGGGTAATAGATAAGGACTATGAAACCAGACAAGAGGATGTCAAAAGGAGAAGGCATGGATGTTAAGAGGGCCTCCTCTCAGATCAGGATAGCAAGCACGCCCCTCTTCCAGAAGCCTTCAGAAAAGTCACCGGTTAAGCAGGCAGAAGTTTTGTTTCATCTGGAACCCTCAGTTCTAGGCTAGCCCATCAAGTCCCAGTAGGGAAAAATGTCCCCACCACAGGTGACGACCAGGAGCACCCACTTGAAGAGGTCACAAAGCTCAACATCAACTTTTTGCTCTGGCCAGAAGGGTAACTGCCACCACACACATCTCAGAAGTTCCTTCTCACTTTTGTTAAAGGCAGCTCTTTGGCTTGGGGCACTTTGGTAACTGAAACAAATTTGTCAGTCCTCCTTCAAGTTCAGGGTTATCTCCAGCTCCCAAACACCCAGCCTCCCACAGGTGGCAGGTTTATCCTATCTCCTCCTTATAATCAGTCAAGGGGTGTCCAAGGTCTCCGCTCCCCGACCCTATTCCATGACTAGGTTAACAAACCAGCAGTGGCTCTCAGGAAGAAATGACTGCTAGAAGGTCCAGCCACTTTTCTCAGGAGCCTTCTGTGTACAGGGATGGAAGCTCAGGAAGAGATGGGGACCACTCCATATAATTTTCTTCCTCACTGCATCTCCACAGTAATGGCTACAGTATAGTGCATGTCATCTCAGGGGCCAGGAACATTACAAATACAACAAGGGCACTCTTTTTGTAAATAAAGCCGCTGGGGCTCAGAGCGGGTTAAGAAGCTTGAAGATGGCCTGCACGGCAGAGACCTGTCTCTCTGGCTCTTTTCACCACTGGAAAGGACGAGGGTGAGATCCCCTCTTTGAGTCAGGCCGAGACCCGCCGGCCCCCACAATCCAGTCCCTGTGGCCAGGTGGGCCCCTACCTGCTTGAGCAGGAACTGGTCCTGGGCGTTGGTGCGAAGGGCAATGGCCAGGTGGAGGGCGGACAGGAGCACCCCGCTGAGCACCGCGGCCCGCATGCGGACAGGCAGCAGCGTGTAGATGGTGTAGATGAAGAACACGGTCCACCAGATGCCCTCAGAGGCGCTGCGCGGCTGGGGCAGCAGCAGACCCACCACCTGGACTGCCAGCACCACGGCGATGAGGGCATAGCAGGCCAGGCCCATGTGGTCCTGGTGGAAGGCGGCACGGTTGCAGAGCACAGCCATGATGAGGATCACGCCCACGGCGGCCGCCAGCACGGCCAGGTAGGGCAGCTGGAGCGGGGGCCGCGCCGCGTGGAAGGCCAGCATGACGAGGCACACGAGCACAAG